TTTTGAGCAAGGAAGGCACAGTATTAAGACACTAAGTATTATGTACACAGTGAACAAATGAGAAACCGTATCTGTCAATGTCAGTTAACTGGGTCAAGAATAATCTTAGTGAGGTTGTGGTCAGTAGTTTACTCCTGCTACTTTAAACCCTTCCCAGAAGATTAATGGCACATAGTAGGTGCTCAAGGCACACCAGTCAAGGCTCCCTTCAGGTCTCCAACCTCTCACCTCGTGATGCTCCCACTCTTGGCTGCTGCCTTACCTCACTAGACAACTGAAAGGTATCTGAGTTTCAGTTTCTCACATCATAGCCAGAGGGCCTGGTACCCCCAGTAAGTTCTCAAAAAACATTAAAACTCTTCATCTTTCTTGACTCTTGAGGGCTCTCTGTTGAATTTTCTGCCTCCAAGATATCCACCCCCCCAATAAGAGTTGAAAGCCACCCCTCCCTCACACAGAAAAGAGCCCAAGTGAGCTATCTATATTCCATAATCAGAGTGAAAATATGACACCCCTCTATGCATGTTAAAACAATTTGGCGAAGGTCTAAAGCAAGGCATGCATACTTCATTTCACTTCTACAGTTAAAACTCATTCTCATTCCTAAGAGGCAAAAATCCTTTATCTTGAATATTAATTATACAACAGTTAATAAAAAAGAATCCTCTATCTCTCCACAGAGAGGACAGAGCCTTGATTGCTGGAAGACAGGAAAACACCTTTACCCTCCTTTTCTCCCTCCCTGTGTCCCCCACCCACTCCCTTTCTCCTCAGGATCAGCCTCAGGGTCAGGATCAGCCTCAGGCCTTGATGAAAGAAAAGCGCACCACCTTTTTTTTTAAATCTTTTAAAATATTTTTATTTTTTATATTATGATTTTTTAATAATAAATTTATTTTTATTGGTGTTCAATTTGCCAACATATAGAATAACACCCAGTGCTCATCCTGTCAAGTGCCCCCCTCAGTGCCCGCCACCCAGTCACCTCCACCCCCCGCCCTCCTCCCCGTCCACCACCCCTAGTTCGTTTCCCAGAGTTAGGAGTCTTTATGTTCTGTCTCCCTTTCAGATATTTCCCGCACATTTCTTCTCCCTTCCCCTCTATTCCCTTTCACTATTATTTATATTCCCCAAATGAATGAGACCATATAGTGTTTGTCCTTCTCCGATTGACTCATTTCACTCAACATAATACCCTCCAGTTCCATCCACGTCGAAGCAAATGGTGGGTATTTGCTTCGAATGGATAAAGAAGATGTTTATGTATACAATGAAATATTACTCAGCCCACCACCTTTCTTAATGTCCCCCTATCCACCCATCCCTTCAGCCCTGTACCAGCCATCCCCCAACCTGCCTCTCACTCTCCTCTTCCGGCAGCCCTAGCTCAGCTTGTCTCCAGAAAGGTCCCCTCCCTTTTCCTCACACTCACTAAGTACCTCATCAGTGGCCAGAAATAGTGGCTACAAAGATGAGCAGCCAGGATTCTCGCTGCCCTGAGGAAGGAACTAGAACTGAAAACCACCTGGTCTAATGCATGGTGGGCTGATAAAAATGCCATGATGGGGGCACCTGGATGGCTCCGTCATTTAAATGTCTGCCTTCGGCTCAGGTCATGGTCCCAGGGACCTGGGATCAAGCCCCCATGCGGCTCCTTGCTCAGAGGGGAGTCTGCTTCTCCCTCTGCCTCTGCCCCTCTCTCCACTCATACTCTCTGTCTTTCTCAAATAAAATCTTGAAAAAAAATTGGTCATAAGAACTCCCATTAAAAAAAAATGCCACGATAGAGCAAAAGCACCTCGTGTAAAGAACATGGCATTCAAAGGAAGGGTGATGCAAGTCCTTGGGGAGTGAAGGGGTCAAGGCGCATTCAACCAGCAGGGTTAAAAAGCTTCTGAAATGTTCCAGTCTGACTTCAAAAAGAGACTGGAAACAGAGAAACCCTAGGAGGCCTCTGAATTAAGCCAGAGACTGGTTGACAAATGTGTAGCAATCAGAAAGGAAAGTCAATGAAATGAGTCCAGAGCTCCCAGCCAGAATAGCCAGAGGGTACTGGTGCCATTAATATAACCCAGAGAAGAGCTAGTTGCATTTCTGGGCATGCTGAGTGACAGTGCTGCCAGCATCCCAGAGTGAATGCAGACACAGGCCAGGATGGAGTTGACTATTGTTCCCAGGAGCAGGTGAGTGTGGTCAAGAGCATGGGGCTCTGGAGCCCAACTGCATGGCTTTAATTCCCAGCTCTTACAAAAAAATCTAGTGACCTTGGACAAGTTCCTGTGCCTTTGTTCCTTACCAGTAAAACAGGGATGCTGATAATAACTGCATCTACTTTGTGAGGTGAGGTTGTTAACATTAATGCGCTAACACATGTAAAGAGCTTAAACCAGTGCCTGGTACACAGTAAGTGCTTTATATGTTTGCTCTTGAGTTTCAAAGCATCAATCAGCAAATGTGAGCAAATAACCCTTACTCTCCTCTTAATGGTACAAAACACTGGACTTGTTCATCAGGAGACAAGGTGGGTGGGGACTAGTTCTAGGTAGGTGAATCTAAGTTTTCCATGCCTCCAACTACAACCCCAAATATGTAAGATAATGATTTCAGGAGAGTCCAAATCAAGGCTTTTTCAAAAGACTCTCTAAAATTAAAACTCAAGCTTCAGCCTTCTCTCCTAATTTGTTCTTGTAGCAGGAACTGAAAAAGAGGCTTCTAGGGGCACTTGGGTGGCTCAAGTCAGTTAACTGACCTTGACCTCAGCTCAGATCTTGATCTCAAGGTCCTGAGTTCAAGCCCCACCCTGGGCTCCACACTGGGCGTGTAGTGGAGCCTCTTTAAAAAAAGAAATAAAGAAAAGATAATTCCAAAATATTCTCTGATTCTCTTTCTACTTCCTATCTAATGGCAGCTGTAATCAAACAGCTTTACTCAATTACTTCTAGAGACCAAGTCCCAGATTGATACCTGATAAATTAAAGGCCTGACTCTATTGTGCCCCCATTGGTAATTTAGAGGAAGGACACCCAGTGTCCACCCAGACACTTCACAAGCTAAAAGGAAGCTGTGAGTGTAGATAAGAGTAGCCTACAAAAGACACATTCTACTTTACCGTGTTTAATCATCACAACTCCATAAAGTGGACAAGTCTGCTTCTGCTGCTGTCACTCCTGTTTTATAAAAAGAAACCAACAGTCCAAAGAGGCAAAGTGACTTGCTCAGGGTCCTGTGGTTAATAAATGACAAAAGAGAGTTTAGAACTCATTTCCAGATACCCCAAGCTTATTTATTCTCTTTCCACTCTGGGACAAAAGAGATGATCGCCAAACCAAGACAGTTTTTGAGTCTTAGCCTCCTTCCTCTGGATTAGGGGAGAGTAAATTGGTAAAAGAATTAAAATGTCCTGGAGTGATATTCACACGACTGAGAAGACCTTCACCAAATTAATAATCCTCAAGCTTCCTACTTTAGGATTGCCAAGGGATGAGTCTTGCCCAGAAGATGCCAAGATCCTACCGGCTCACACACACATTCTTATACTGAAATAAAGTGCAGAGCAGGGCCACATCCCAGGAGCGAGAGAGCAGCAATCTTTTATTTAGAAGCAGAGTAAAACTCAACTAAACCAGCCGCCCACTCCTCCCTACCCCAGTCTGAGGCTAAATATTGCCATGTTTTACTTGGGGGTTCATCTGCCACCGCTCTGAAAACACGAGGGTAACCCACCATCCTCTCCTTTGCTCTCGGAACCCCCAGGATGGGAGTGCGAGCCCGTCGCGGCGCCGAACAATTATATCAAGATACTCTCCCAAAATGCGTTCCCTCTAAGACAACAGAAATCTCAAGTATGTAATTGGGCAACGCTGTCATTGCCTCACAGCTCTGGACACCCCCACCGCGCCTCAGCCCGTCCCCTCTTCTCAAGTCCTAGCTGAGGTCCAGGGTCAGGTGCCCGTCCTGAAATCCCGGTATTTCAGAAACTCAATGCTCCCCAGGGTGATAGCGCCTCGGGCCCAGCCCCAGCCCCACCCCCACCCCACGCCCGGAGGCACTTAGAGCTGGGCTCTCGGCGGGGCCAGAAGCTCTTTCTTATGCAAATGACCTGGCCCGGGAGCTCGGGCCTCGGGGGCCGCCGGGCCCGAGGTGAGCAGACCTGTCAGAGCCTAGGGCAGGGAAAAAGCTCCCTGACGTAACGAAAACTTTCCAAAGAAGACAGGAAAGCGGGGTGGGGGTGGGGGTGGGGGGTCCCCTTCGAGTAACTTTCAGTTGCACACCAACCAAAGCTCGCCTCCCACTTGGAGGCGGGCGCCGGGGACCCCGGGTCCCGAGGCACCTCTGGAGGAGAGTGCACGCCCCTCGCGGGGCCTCCGTACCGGGGAGGGGGCGCGGCGGGCGGAGCTCCCCGGCCCGGCTCCCGGTTCCCGGCTCCCGGCTCCCGGCTCCCTCCCGGACGGGCCTCTGCCCCAGCGCACCTCCGCAGGCCCCGAGGAACGCCGAGGGGAGCCGTGCGTCCCCAGAACGCTGTCCTTCCGCACTAGAGCCCCCCACCCCGCATCCCACGTGGCGCCGGGGCCTCCCCCACCCCCACCAGCCACGATTCTCCCCCACGTGCTCTCGCCGGAACTCCGGCAGCGAAAAGGGGGCTCCTCCCACGTGGGCCTCGCAGTCTCAGACTACGTGCCGGGTGACCCGCCCCTCCAGCGAGGGAAAAAAAAAAAAAGCGCGACTGCGCGCAGGATGGCAGGAAGGCGGAGAGCCGCGCGGTGCGCGAGCCCCGGCGCCTCGCACGCGCGCACACGCCTGCCCGTGCCTAGCGGACGTGGCTCCTCGCGCCCAGGGGTTGCCCGGCGGCCCTGACTTTTTCCGCGTCCTCCAGCACGAATGCGGAGGAAGCGGTTCCCCGCAGGGTCGAGGAGGAGAGTGGCGGCCGGCCGGGGCCCCAAAGTGGGGGCCGGGGACCACACGACTTCGCCAAAGGCGAGCCAGCCGCCCCTGCACGCGCTTACTGACCTTCTGCACCTGGTCGTGGTTGAGCTCCGTGAAGAAGTAGGCGAGCAGATGCGAGGCGATCATCCTGCCGCGCGCGGCCTGACGGCGCCGAGTTAGGAAACCGAGGTTGGTTAGAGCGCGTGCGGGGGAAGAGGGCAGGCAGCGCGGTCCGACCGCTTTGTATCCGGGCTCGGCGGCCCGGCGGGGAGCCGTGAACCGGGCGGCACAGAAGAGGCGGCGATGGCACGCCCAGCTGGAGAGTCTAGAGTCTCCAGAAATCGGTCTGGGGAGTCCCGATTGCTAGAAGGCGCCCAAAAATCACTGCCGGGACGTGGCGGGCTGCCCCACCGCTGAGGCGCTAACTCCTCCACGGGGTCACTGGAGGCTCAACTTGGGAAGAATCTCGGCCCGGCCTCCCTTGGGCGAGCGGACCCCTCCGGCTCCCGCGCGCGCTGCCCTTGCCCACGGATCTCCTCCGCTCGATGACACGGCGGCGCTAGCGGCAGCCCGGGACTTCTGCTCTGGAGTTTGGTGCAACAATGTGGCTTATTGAGGGGCTGCCGGCTCGCGGGCCTCCGGGTCAGTGACGCGCGCGCGCCCATTGGCTGCAGGGGGAGGGTGTGTGCGCCCACGGGCCGCCCGCCGCCGCGGCGCAGCCAATCCGTGCGCACGGCCCGCGGGCGCGGCCCCTCCGACACCCGAGCCCGCAAACTGGAGGGGCGCGCCCGGGGCAGGGGGCGGGGCCGGGCGGCCGGGATGGGACGTGTGGTCCGTGGCTGGAGGCTGGGACGCCAAGGCGCATGAGCCACCGCCGCGTCAGGCTCAGCTCTGGGTGGGGGGCGCGTGATCACAGACCCAGCGTGTGGCACGACTGGGAGGACGGGTCACCCGACCAGCACGTGCCTTGTGCGGGAAGAGGGATACTGTCTGGTGTCTCGGGGTCACGCGAGGCGCCCCCCCACCCCTCATTGCTGGGTCACATTTCTGAGACATCTCAGTCCTCACCTGTTGTGGCTCAACGGGGCGCAGCGCTGAAGCAAGATGAGGCGCCGCCAGAGCTGCTGCTTACTTTATGTCAAGCGTCACAATATAGATAGGCTGTGGGTTTTACTGACCTCTTTTCACAGATGAGGAAACTGAGGCACAGGCCGTTAAGACTTGCCCAGGGTCCCACAGCTATGTGGCAGATGGAGGAAGGAACCCATGCCTGTCTGACTTTGAAGCCCAAAGGTTTTCCCTATTTTCCTATCCTACCTACCGCTCTAAGCGCCCAGGGAAGTAGAAAGCAGGAAAGGAGCTTTATCAGCAGCTGTAGGATGGACGCGTGGGTGAAACTGGGGGGGTGAGAAGTGTGTAACGGAAGGATCCTGGACGTGTGTGGGGCAGGGGGCTTGGGGGCTTGGGGATGTTGAGAGGAGTGGCAGGTCCAGCCACAGCTAATGCCTGGCACCAGACTGAGTTTATGTATGCGATGGCAGCTAGCAAGAATGTGGAGAAGAGCAGAGCCTGGGGTTGGAGAGGTCACAGAGGAGGCAAGCAAGAAGAAGGGATGCCCTGTTCTACTGAGGAGTCTCTCCTCTCATCAACAGTCAGGTGCTATCTGCAATGTATATATTATTATAGTATTATGTAAGTTATAAGCGTTCATGGTTGGAATATACCGGCAGAAATAACAAAAACATCCATGATCCAGCCTCTCAGCAAAACTCTTGAAAGCTACATACCCCTGCCAACTATACCTTCACCCTTCTCCTTCCCCGTACTCCAGTCGGGCCTGGGTCCCAAACTTCTTTTGTTACAGTCACCATAATGACTTATTCATTGCCAAATCCTGTGTTCTTATCCCTTTTTTACCCTTTATCCACTTCTAGTGATACCCACGCACAGTTGACCGCATCCTGCATCTGGACACACCTTCTTCTGTGGGATCTGGAGAAGCTCCATCCTCCTGGTGTCCCTCTAGCTCCTCAGACCCTGTTTTCTCTACTGGTGAGTGCTGGAGTATTCCAGGGCTCTCCTCCACCCTCTGCTCTGGTTATGTTCTCTTCCTGGGTGATCCCTCCCAGCCTCATGATTGTTGCTATCATGACAGGCCGGTAACTCACAGATGGAAATCTACAGCGAGGACCTCTCTAGGAGCTCCAGACTTATTTCTCCAACAACCATTTGTCATCTGCATTGAATGACTACCCTCTCACACTTAAGATCCAAAGCCAAATGGAACTTTTCTTTCCTCATCTATTTCTTTTCCAGTTGCCTCAGCAAATGACATCACCCTCCACCCTAAGTCATCATTAATTCATTCCTCCCCCTCATTCTCATATCCAGTAAGTCCATCAACAAGCAGTCAATTTGGCCCATAAAATAAACCCTGTAATTGACTGCTTCTCTCCATGTCCTTGAACACCTTTTCGGACACAAGCCACCAACAACTGGCCAGAGCCAAAACCACATCAGCCCGCCTTGTCCTAGCTTCCATTCATGCCTGTCTCCATCCTGACCCTTACACAATCTTCTTGTTCAGGGACCAAAGTGAACTGTAAAAGGTAAACCATTCAGAGATGCCTGGGTGGCTCAGTGGTTGAGCATCTGTCTTCAGCTCAGGGTATGAACCCAGGGTCCTGGGATCGAGTCCCACATCAGGCTCCCCACAGGGAACCTACTTGTCCCTCTGCCTATGTCTCCACCTCTCTGTGTGTGTCTTATGGATGAATAAATAAATAAAATCTTTAAAAGAAAGATTTTATTTATTTATTTATGATAGACATAGAAAGAGGGGGGGTGCAGAGACACAGGCAGAGGGAGAAGCAGGCTCCCTGCCAGGAACCCGACTCGGGACTTGATCCTGGGACTCCAGCACCATGCCCTGGACCAAAGGCAGGCGCTAAACCACTGAGCCACCCAGGGATCCCCAATAAATAAAATCTTAAAAAAAAAAAGATAAACTATTCTATGTCTCTCCCTCCCTCACTCAAAGCCATCTAGTTGGGTTTCTAATCCTAGAGTAAAATTCAAAATCCTGACAATGATATTATATGGCTTCCTTTTCACCTCATCCCATACTACTTTTCCCAGTACACTGCTTGGCATTCACGAAGGCATGTTGTCCTCAAAAATGACAAACTGTTCCCCACCCAAGGGCCTTTACTCCTTGTTTTTCTTCCATCTGGAATATTCTCCAGATCTGGGTCCAGCTAACTCAGAGGTTAACTGAAATACCACCTCTTCTGAGGACTTTATTCTAATCAATTTATCTCAAGTGATTCCCCCAGTCACTCTCATGTGCCCCTGGCTGACATCCTACTGATTTTCCTATTGTTCTTTCTCTCCTTGCTAGACTGTGAGCTGTAAGAAGGCAGAGGCTGCAACTATGTTGTTCCCTCACATCTGCAGTGCCTAGAATGGTGCCCAGCATATGGTGGGCACACAGTAAATATTTGTTGAATATCTAAATGAGTAGAAGAAATTTTAAAAATAACTATTGTTCATGTTTTGTATAACAAATACACACATGCAGAAGGAGAGAAAGAGTTTGTAGTTTTATATATTATTTCTCTAATCTTTTCCACCTCTAGATCTTCCCTAGTTCACACACCCAACATCTCTCACATGACTGAAACAGCCTTATAACTGGGCTTCCCTCTTTAGATAAGCACCAAAGATATATAGGTTTGGATATACAATAGAAGCTTCTTAGAGAAGTGATGTGATCGGTTTTGCTTTTTTAGGTCAATAGTTGCCCACCCTTTTGGGTGTAGGGTGGGGAGATTAAAGACCAGAGGTGGAGGCACCTGGGTAGTTTAGTAGTTGAGCATCTGCCTTCAGCTCCGGGCCTGATCCTGGGATCCTGAGGTCAAGTCCCACATAGGGCTCCCTGCGGGGAGCCTGCTTCTTCCTCTGCCTATGTCTCTGCCTCTGTGTGTGTGTGTCTCTCATGAATAAATAAATAAATAAATAAATAAATAAATAAACAAACAAACAAACAAACAAATAAACCAGAGGCAGAAAGAGGCCCAAGCTGTCAGGTAGGACCAAGACCTGAACCAAGGTGGGGATGAGGCAAGGTGTCAGGCTACAGATGTAGATGTTTTAAAGACTGAGGTAGAATGATGCCTTGGACTCAGAGTGGGGGATAAAGAGGAAGATGCCTGCTACCTGGTATACTTGGAAGTCCGTGTTATAAAACCTGTTGGCCCCAGGCAGGCCAGACCAAACCCCATGGGTCATGTCAGCTATGCTCCCATCTCTATACACTGACTTTAGAGCTTCTTCTCAACTCCCCTCTCTGGTCCCATTTCTTGTGAACCAGATAGTAATCCCAAGGTGCCTTAAGTATACATTATCTCTTCTGAAGGCCCCAGTCCCAGGAGGTAGTTAGGGTGGGTATTGTTATAAACCCCAATTTATACATGACCAACTAAGGGTAGGTTACTCATAAGGCTGAGACTTGTGTCTTTGACTTTTCTAGCTCCAAACTCCATGCCTAGAGTTTATGATTTATTGACTCTCAGATCTCTCTCTCTCTCTCTCTCTCTCTCTCACACACACACACACACACACACACACACACATTTAAGAATAATGAGACATCTATGTAATTTACACTCCACAGCCCCAAGAGAGAAATCAATCAGCAAATATTTATTAAGCAAACCCTTACAATGTTCAGGAAAGTCTGTTCAGTGCTGTAAAAAAATATAAAACAAACACAAGATGTGGTTCTTGCCCCTCTGAGGGATTAATTGTTTAATCAGAGATGCAAAACCAACACATAATTATCGCAGAATGGAAAAGTCTATCACTGAGAGCCAAACATGTGTTTCTATGTGATGGAGTTTCAGAGGACAAAGAGAGCCACAGGCCAGAGTCAGCCAAGGATGGTCTGATGGATACAAATGTCAGCTTTTACACCAGGCTGTCTCTGGCCTCACATAGGAGAGACCTGAGCCTGGCCATCGGCTTTTAGGGAGCTGTCCTGGGAAGAGACGACTTGGCCGAAAGACATCCGTCTTCCAAATATTCCTTTTTCTAATTAGGATTTATCAAGTTGGAAGCAAGTTATAAGTAATGGGATTATATAGAGGATTTTAAGACTGAGGGTGAGCCTTACCTGAATGTAAACACTTAGGACTCTGTGCACTGTGTTATCTTTAACACTGGGCCCTAATGAGGTCCATAATCTCTTGCGTGTCATAGTTCAGTGATAACATATGAATTTGAGAGATTGGGGGAAGGTATTAAAAGTATCTAAAATAGAAAAATGAAAGCCTTAAGATACACAACAACCTCATTTTATCTGTCAGATTTTCACAAAGGACCTATTCAAGCTAGTTTAACCAGAAAAAGTTGATAGAGGAATATTTGGTCCCTTTCAAGATCTTCAGGAGTGTCAGAGAATCAGGCTTACAGGGCATGCCATTCAAGAGTGATGCCCAAATTATACCATCAGACTCTGCCAGTGGAAATGCTATTGCTCCAGCCACCGGGCTCAAGTATCTCTGCCTGCACTCCTGATGCTGGACCCAAGATTAGCCAGGACAGGCCACAGCCACCTTTGACAATTGGATGTCTGTCTCTCAGCATCCTTGCTAGAAGAATTCTGCACAGCATCTCCTTTATTGTGTTTGCATTCAAACTGACGTCTTGCAGGTGGTTGCTGGAGCTTAAGCCACATGCCCATGCCCTAGCTGCAAGAGAAGCTGGGAAAGCAGCCCCAGGAGTCAGGAGCCAGGAGCCCTAACTTGGAGAAAGGAGCTAGGTAGGCCCAAAGCTTGATACACATCCACCACACCCAGAAGTCACTGAATATGCTACATTGTAAAATTTAAAGGGCCTTTAGACAAATTGGCTGCCTAAAAAATCCAGGACACACCAAAACAATTAAAAAATAGAACATCCAGGGGCACTTGGATGGCATAGTTCAACCTCCAACTCTTGGTTTTCTGCTTAGGTCATGATCTCAGGGTCATGAGATTTAGCCCCCTGTCGGGCTCCATGCTCAGCACAATGTCTGCTTGAGATTCTCTCTTCCTCTCCTTCTGCCTCTCCCACTTGTGTGCACTCTCAAATAATAAATAAATAACTATCTTTAAAAATTGGAACATCGGTAGCAGGGCAGCCCAGGTGGCTCAGTGGTAGTACCACCTTCGGCCCAGGGTGTGATTCTGGAGACCCAGGATCCAGTCCCATGTCGGGCTCCCTGCATGGAGTCTGCTTCTCCCTCTGCCTGTGTCTCAGCCTCTCTCTGTCTCTGTGTCTCTCATGAATACATAAATAAAATCTTTAAAAAAAAAAAAAGAACATCTGTACCAGATGAGGGTTAAACTAGAAAGAAAGTAGGCAGTAGGCCAAATGACACCAGGAAACAACTATAAATAAATTGACATGGGCTGGATAATTCATTCTCTCCACACACTTTCTGTAATCCAGTACTGGCCCAATGCCTGCCCAGTGCCTGACCAGTGCCCAGTGCCTGCCCACAGGTATATTTAGTACCACAGTAAATGAAGAAATATTGTCAGGAGGCCTCACTCCAATGCCACCCCAAACATGAGGGCTATGGAGTCGGATACTCTCATCTTGATAGCCATAGAGCTATATATCCCCCAGAAAGTCTGCCAAAGAAGATCGTGGTGGCACTCATGGGATTACCATGGGCCTCCCTGCGCTCCAGCGTCCTCCCCTGCAAAGTGGAAATCATGAGATGGAAAATGAAAAGACTCTAGTTCAGAACCTGGTACATAGGAGACCCCAAATATCAGTCTTCTAAACACATCATTCATAATTTCAAGTCTTCTATGTAATAAGAACTCAGTGATTTAAAAAATTCCAGATTTGGGGCACCTGGGTGGCTCAGTGTTCGAGCATCTGCCTTTACCTCAGGTCGTGATCCCAGGGTCCTAGGAGTGAGTTCCGCATCGGGATCCCCACAGAAATCCTGCAATTCCCTCTGCCTATGTCTCTGCCTCTCTCTGTGTCTCTCACAAATAAATCAATAAAATATTTTTTAAAAATTAAATTAAGTTGAAAATTCCAGATGCCAAGAATAGTGAATGCAGAGTCTCAGGGACATGGGAGAGATTGGTTTGTTCCAAACGACATGCAGCCCTCTGGTGTAGAGAGCGGATTTCAATGGAGAATGACAGGAAGAAGGTTGGGCAGGTAGGCAAGAGGGTTGAACAAAAAGGGAAGTATTAGAATTGTCAGTACTGAGGCTAGAAGCAATGTGGAGGACAGCTTGGGGGGGAGGTCAGGGGTAGGGAGTGAGACCAGAGTCCTGGGGAAAGATGCTGAAGGCTTCTACAAGGTTTATGGCAAAAGGTAAGAGAAGTGAAAGAAGTGAGAAAAGTAGATCAAACAGAACTTGATGGATAATTGAATGTGAGCAGTGGAGACAGGAAAGACTCTAAGACAGTGATTCTCACCCTTGGCAGCTCTTTGGAAGAGTGCTGTCCCGACACATGGAGGTGCTTGGCCCAGGGTACAGACCACAAGGGGTACCTTGTTGTGGAGAATGTATAAATAATAATAGTAAAACCTTTAGTCAGTCTGGGATTTTATTATCACCATGGGCTAGCAATTCTAAACAATGTCTGTGACAAAGTATGCTTTCCTGGATTACAGCTAACGGCCCTCCCTGCATCCCACCTCCTGCCCTTATATAGCCACTTTATTAGAATCATCTAGAGAGCTTTTACAAATCCTGATGCCATATAAACAAACAGCAGATGTTAATGGCATCTTTTCTTCCACTGCAGTAGTGAACCAAAAAACAAAATATCTAGGAATTTAAATGTATAAGGAATTTAGGTTGACAACTAGAACAAGTAGGGAGGCTTAAAGTTGCTTCACTGAACTTCATTTCCTCTTAGGTACACTTGTAAACTTTAAATGTGAGATCCAACTGAAAATAATGGATTTTTAAAAATAAATGGGCTTTAAAAGATTCATATGGAAACATAAACAAGACTCCTTTTGGAAACCACAGGAAGAAGCTTGTTCATTTGCTTTTTTTAATGTCAGAGTGGTGAAGTCCTTCCTGAGAAAGACTAAAAACCTAAATGTCATAAGCAAAAAGACCCATAAAAGACTATTAAGTAAAGTCAAAAGACAACCTAGACAAAAATACAGATCAGATACAAAAGACTCATTTTTGTACTATATAAAGAGCTTCTTCAAATTAATAAGAAAAGGAAATTTAAAAAAAAACTTGGGTAAAGAACACAGAGTTCACAGGAAAGAAACAAATGGTTATTTGATATATGAAAAAATTATTAACATCACTGAGATTGGTGAAAATGCACTTTTAAAATATACTGATAGACCATTTCTTACACATCAGGTTAGCACAAATCAAATAATGATAATACACCTTACCATGAGGAAAGAGGTGCTCTTTCTCCCAGCACATTATTTTTTTTTACGGCATTTTATTTATTTACTTGAAAGAGAGCAAGAGAGCAAGCACAGAGGGAGGAGGAGAAGCAGACTACTCTCTCTGAGCAGGAAGCCCAACATGGGGCTGGCTGGATCCCAAGACCCTGAGATCATGACCTGAGCCAAAGGCAGACGCTTAACCAACTGAGCCACCCAGGAGCATCCCCCCTAGCAGTATTAGTGACGGAAAACCACAGCCTCTATAAGGTCTGCTTAACGCTCACCATCAATTACAAGTACACCTACCCATTGACCCTGAGAGCACATGTTTCTTACAGGTAAACCCACGTATGTTGTGTGAGGTTGTTCACTGGGGCATCATTTGTCAAAGCAAGTCTGGGACTGACTTAAATCCTATCATTTGGGGACTGGGTAAGTAAAGTTCATCCATACAATGGAATAACTTAACTGCATATAAAAAAGAGAAGAGGTTCCCTAAGTATTAATATGGAATAATCTGTAAGGTACAGTTTAGTAAAAAAATGTAAGATGTAGAAAAGTATGCATATGAAATCCTGTCAAATAAAAAGGAACTGAAAATAAAATAAGCCTACACCTGTGTAGAGTTTTAAACTATCCTCTAGGTAGAGGAACTGAGTGACTGGAAGAGACAGGTATGGGAGAAGACTTTATCATGCAGTCCTCTGTATCAGGTGTGAGTATTATCTATTTAAAAAAATGAGATGAATTAAGAAAAGAATCTACTGATATAAAGGTAGGTGGGGCAGGGAAACTAAAGGACCCCACGAAAAACTGCTTTTCCCCCTCTTCCTGATTCTGTTCTTGCTAGGACCTACATTCCTGCCTTACATGCACCTTATGAAATAGATAAAGGTCAAGGAGTTAATGATTTCTTTGGGAGTCTTCCAGCACAAGAGATAACATCTAAGGAATGACCAGGCAGGGTCATCAGGAACATTTTCCAAGACCACTGACTCACCAAGACCCCTCACTTCAGGCATAAGTGACTTACGGAGAACACCCAAACACTCGTCTGTGATCCTGGATGCCTGAGAAGACTTATGCACTGGACCACAATCCTCAATAAAAACCCCAGACTCCAAGCAAAGACTAGACATACTCTTCTTTCCTTTTTGAGTGTCCTGGATTCTCTGTCTGTATCTGCTCTCTCTGTGTCTTCAATAAACTCTGTTCTCACTTCCTCTTGGCTTGAATTTTATTTCTATCCTGTATGAAACCAAGGATCCTCTTGGCTGGTCCTGAGGGTCTCGGCTCTGGGTTCTAAGACCCAGCCAGCCTGCATCAAAGGCAACTCAATAGAGTAAAAAGGACATGGGATGAGATACCTGAATCCGCCAAAAAATTAAAAATTTTAGGGACACTTGGGTGGCTCAGCGGTTGAGTGTCTGCCTTTGGCTCAGGGCATGATCCTGGGGTCCTGGGATCGAGTCTGCATTGGGCTCCCTGCAGGAACCTGCTTCTCCCTCTGCCTATGTCTCTGCCTCTCTCTCTCTCTCTTTCTCTGTGTGTCTCTCATGTATAAATAAATAAAATCTTTTTTAAAAATCAAAAATTTTAAGTTAAAAAAAAAGAATATCCAAGCCACACCCCAGCCCAATTACATTAGTATGTCTGGGGGTGGGAGCCAGGAATTAGTATTTTTAAAGCTCCCCTGGTGATTCCAATGTGCAGCCAATGGTAAAAACCATGACTGTAGCATGCTCTGGGTATTTTAGTCTTGGGTCTTGGGCAACTCCTGAACCTGTGTCAGTTTTGCGTCTATGTCTGACTCCTCCACCCACTAAGCCCTATTTCTTTGCACTTACTTCTCTGATCTTTATATCAGTTCCTGGCCAGGGCTATCTAGTCCTTATCTTTGTAGCTGCCTCATTCTTTCCCTCTAGACAGTAGGACCTCAGTTTTCTTCTTATTGACTTGCCAAAAAACAAGCAAATTCCTAGCTTCCTGTCACTTCAGTGATGGGAAATGTATTAGTTTGAATTAAGAGGGCCCTTGTCCCAGTAGGAATGGATGAGGGTCCTGCCTCTCTTGGTGCCAGTTGGATGGTTTCAGGTACAAGAAACAGAACACGCTGGCTCCAACAAAAAGATATTTGTTGTGTCAAATAAAAAGCCACCTGATGGTGGGCTGAACTTCTGTCAGGGCTCTGGCCCTCCTTCTCTGAGAATCTCTTGGCTCTACCTCACTTCCTGAGTTGGCTTCATCTTCATTCTGGTAGTGAGACAGAGGCAACATGTTCAGTGCTCAGCCATAAACTATAAGATCAAGAGAAAGGGAAAGGAACTGCTTTCTCCTGGGTGCCTCTCTCTCTCTCTCTCTCTCTCTCTAAATATATATTTACTTGAGAGAGAGAGAGAGAGAGCAGGGGGAGGGGCAGGGAGAGAGGGAGAGGCAGACCCTCCCGCTGAGCAGGGAGCCCAACACAGGGCTCTATGCAGGGCTCTATCCCAGGACCCTGGGATCATGAACTGAGCCAAAGGCAGATGCTTAACTGACTGAGCCATCCAGGCACCTCCTTGTTCTCTTTTTTATAAAGAAGAAAACATTGCCTTAAACCTTTCAGCAGCTTTCCTTCCTCCCAATCTCATTAGCCAAATTGTCACATACCCAATCTTATACTAGCTATCTAGAAAGAAGAATAGGATTATCATGATTGGCTCACACTAGTGGTTCTCACCTGGGGGTGGTTTTTCCTCCCAGGAGACCTTTGACAATATCTAGAGACACTTTGAACTGTAGTTGGGGTGCTACTGGCAGAAACGCTGCTCAATATCCTATAATAAACACAACAACCCTTACAACAAAGAATTACCCAGGCTCAAATGTCAATAGTGCCAGGACTGAGACACACTGGCTGAGACTAATCAGTGCCCAAGCCTAGAGATGAGGACAGGGTCACCCTCCCTTAGTCATCTAATGGCTCACAAATATCAGGGTTTTTTTTTACAGAAATGAAAGTATGTGATAGGCAGCCTCCAATCTTCCCTACATCACTGCTTCAAAAGTGTTGGGGCTCTGTATCAATTTCCTGCAGAGTTATCCAAATGGAGAATTTGAAATCAGTGGTCTAATCATAATATATTATATGGATCTACAGTCCGAGGACCAATGAGGCTAACATTCTTTTTTAATGTTTTTATTGAGACATAATTGACATAAAACATATTAGTTTTAGGTATACAATATCATGATGCAATATTTGTGTACATTGCAAAAAAAATGATCACCATGATAAGTCTTGTTAATATCCATCACCACACACAATTTTTCCCTTGTGATGAGAACTTTTAATATCTACTCTCTTAGTAACCATTAAATACACAATACTGTTAATTACACTTACCATGCTGTGTATTACATCCATGATATTTATTTTATAACTGGAAGTTTGTACCATTTGACTTCACCCATTTCACCCACTTCCATACCCCCTAACATTCTTGATTTAATATGCATATTTCTGCAGAACTAAAAGGCTAGGCACTCAAGATGGCCATGGGACACTTGCTCATTGGTCAATCAAAGAACATTACAAAGGTGCTTCTCTAACTCTTTACAGAGAGGAAGGTATGTATGACACTACTATTGCTAGAATTTTAGCAATCAGGGAAAATGTGAGGTTGGCTGCTCCTGCTTGCAACATTGGTTGGTATCTCAAGGAGACATGGGAGTTCAAGGAGCCAAGGTTAAAGCATCAGCTAAAATACCCAGAAGAACAATATATCCCTGTTCTTTGTTTTTTGCTGAGACAGTTATTTATCCAATATCTCTTTAGCCTGAAAAAAACCACTAATTATAAAGACCAACTTTTTAGAGCAAAGAGCAGGGTTGACATGCCATCCTAAGGGCTGTGTGTGTCTGTGTAGATTTCTGATTCCTAAGCCTCTAGAAATATCTTTAGAACTAACTCCTGTCCATAATAGGCACAGATTTCTGGTGTATCAGGGCTCAAACCCCCCCTCCCCCCAGTGGATGGCAGCAGGGTACATGCCAACATACCTGTCCCAGAGTTCTCTTCTGAAACTTAAAGTCAGGTTAATTCACTCACACCCCTATAAGTTAGTCACTACTTATGGTAATCGTTAGTCCTAGTCACCAAATATTTCTAGTTCTCCCTCAAGTTCATGATAGGATTGCACATGCTATCCTTTAAATTTAGATGTGATCATGTGAATTGCTTTGGTACAGGAAAGCTCCAGCAAGTACGTACACACACACACACACACACACACACACACACACACACACACACGAGCAAATGAGCTTTGGCTATTGTGAAAACATAGAGACACAATCTCCATCATCCTAGATCCCTAAGTGAGGATGGCAGGGAGCAGAGTCCACATCAACCTATAGTGGACAAATAGTATAAACAAGAAATCACTTTTTTAAGCCACTTACATTTGGGGTCATCTGTTGCAGTAGTATGGCCTGTTGTATCCTGATACAGTTCCCAACATGCTGACTTGCTTCCAGTCATTTGTGCCCTCCATCTCCTCCCTGTATTTCTCCAGTCTAATTTTCTACTTCTCTTTTCACATCCCAAGGCAGTGTGTCTTCTGGACCCCCAATTTTGCACCAGATTCCTTGCATCTTTGGCTGCTCCACAGAATGTGCCCTTTACTTCTTACCTGAAGGCCCTGGCTCTCCTCTAGAGGCCTCTCCTCTCACACATCTCAGACCTAAGGGTTGGGAGGTGACACTGGTACTCCCAGTGCCAACACTGCTTTTATCCTGAAGTCAAAGTTCCACTCCCTTAAGACTCATGGCCTCCAGCAGGGTCACCTCAGGGCCTTTTCATATTTTACTGACATCCTGGTACCCTCTTGGGCATCTGGATTATAGTTCTTCTCTCTTCTCCAAGTCCTACAGAATCCCAAGAGACTTCGGTGACCCTAGGGACAACTACCAAACACCCTAGCCTTACAGCTTCCTGACTTTTCCACCCCCAATAGTCTCCACCTCTTTGTGCTCTGGCCATACACTCTGAGATAACATCATAAACCTTGTCACCAACTCAGAACTGCTTCCCTTCTGCAGCTGAAGCTATGATGACCACTGTGGAGGGACAGTGAGATGGCTTAGAAGGTTGAGCTCCACTGGATCCTAAACAAACTCCCATTTTCCAAACTATGTCCTAGAAGAGAGGTTCTTAAATATTAATGATTCATTCTAATCACCTGGGGATCTTGTTAAAAGTCAGACTCTGATTAGGGGCATCTGGTGTGAGACCTGAGTTTCTGCAGTTCTAACCAGCTTCCAGGTGATGGCCATGCCTCCTGACCTCACTTTGAGTCGCAGAGAGTGAAGTGTCCATGAGATGTGGCTTCCCTGTGCTTCCTATTTTTCCTTGAGAAGAGCCTGCCACTGCTTCCTTGAGCCATCATCAGTACCCAGGAACCCACCCAACTGGAGACCTATCTCAAGGAGTCCACACAACTGTGAGTTCTGCCTGGAGACTTATATTTTGACTTTTAATCTTTAAAAGGATCTCAGATGCAAATGGTTCACTGATCTTCACTACGTAGCACACTCTCATCAGCCCATGAAATGCCCCTCTACTCGTGGTTTATTTCTTTTCATTTTCAGTTATTGCAACTCTTCAACCCTGATACCCCCTTTTTCCTCCCCAGTCTTTGTCATAAGGTCAGCACTCTAATATGTTTGATATAGGTCCTTAAATATGCTGCATTCAACCTTGTAAAATGAGTTTTGTATGCTTACATTTTTAAATTACAAAAATGATGAGCAGTTTAAAAAGAAAAAAATAAGAGAACTTCCTATGTGGTGTTGTATGGATCCTCCTGATGAGGTGGCCAACATTTAGGCTTCCCTTCTTTATATAGGAAAACAATGCACACCTTATTATTTGAACCAGCCCTGGTGATCTCTGTTTCTTGCAACCAAAATAACCTAAAGAACACCCTACTTCATGGGGGTGGTTGTAAGGCTTAGTTGAGAACAGGATGTGGTGTCTAAACTTCCTAGGCTCATCGTTCCTAATGTCAGAACCTCTTTTGCTGTATTTGACAATGGGCTGAATGAAGAGTGATTTAGGCCAGGATTAAGGATTCAGTCTCCATATGGCCTCATTAGCTTCACCAGATACCAAGAGCACCCCTAGCACTAGCATAAATATTGTTGCAACCTCTTTCACATAAAGATAGAAATAAAAAGGTTTAAAACATGCAGCCAGACTTGATTAGATAGACCAGTGGGCAAAGAAAAAAGTCCAGAAACAGACCCAGAGACATGTAAGGGTTTAATATATACTAAAGGTGATTTTTGGGATCCCTGGGTGGCGCAGCGGTTTAGCGCCTGCCTTTGGCCCAGGGCGCGATCCTGGAGACCTGGGATCGAATCCCACGTCGGGCTCCCGGTGCATGGAGCCTGCTTCTCCCTCTGCCTGTGTCTCTGCCTCTCTCTCTCTGTGTGTGTGTGTGTGACTATCATAAATAAATAAAAATTAAATAAATAAAATAAAGGTGGTTTTTCAAATTAGCAAAGAAAAAATGGATTAACTAGTAAATGTTGAAACATCAGGATGACCATCTGGGAAGACAAATTAACTTGGATTCTTATCTTACTGCTTATAACAACATAAATTCCAGTTGAAGCAGAGATTTATATGTTTAAAAAAATTTAATTATTAGAAAAAATTTTGGGAGAGTTTTTGAAAGAATCTCCAATTAAAGCTTTTCTGAGCATCACCCAAAAACCCAGATACCTCAAAAGAAAGATGAATTTAGGTATGTTAAAAAAATTTTTTAATTACTCCAGACAAATCCATCATAAACAAACTTCCTTAAAACATAACTATACAAATCAGTAAGAAAAATATGATTGTCCCATTTGAAAAATAATAGGCAAGAATATGAAGAGTTTATAGGAAAAAACTATATAAATGCTCTAAATATATGAAAAAATACTTGGGATCACTTATAAAAAGAAAAATACTAATTAAAATTACAACGACAATGCATTTTTCAGTTCACAAATTGACAACATTGAAAGATTTAGAAATTAAGCTGACAAAGACGTATGGAAATAAGCACTCTCATAAGTTTCTCCAGAGAATAATTTGACAATCTCTATCAAAATAAAAATGAGGAGCCCCTGGGTGGCCAACTCAGTTTAAGTGCCCCACTCTTGGTTTCAGGTCAGGTCATGATCTCAGGGTTGTGAGATCGAGCCCCACCTTCGGTTCCATGCTCAGCAGGGAGTCTCCTTGGGATTCTGTTTCTCCCTCCCTCTGTACCACGCCCTGCCCGCAGGGCACACATGGTCACTCTCTCTCAAATAAATAAGTCCTTAAAAAATATGAAAAAATGAACATACCCTTTGACTTTTAGGAATGTATTCACAAACATACTTGAATATGTATGAAATTCCATGTGTCATTTTATTACTACAAATTATCATTTGTCCAAGTAATGGAATACCATACAGCTATGAAAAGTTGTGAAGCTTTGGGATTATTTTTTAATAATAAATTTATTTTTTATTGGTGTTCAATTTGCCACATACAGAATAACACCCAGTGCTCATCCCGTCAAGTGCCCCTCTCTGTGCCCGCCACCCAGTCACCCCCACCCCCCACCCCCTCCCCTTCCCCCCCTTCACCACCCCTAGTTCGTTTCCCAGAGTTAGGAGTCTTCCATGTTCTGTCTCCCTTTCTGATATTTCCTACCCATTTCTTCTCCCTAAGCTTTGGGATTATTGACGCAGAATGTGTCCTTTAGAGAAAAGAGCAAGATACAGAACAATGTTGAGTGGGGGAAGGAGGAGAGTGAAATCACACACCTGCTTGTGAGTACACAGAAGATCTTCAGAAGGTTACAAAAGCAACTTTGAGGGGAAATAGGAGCAGCACAGGCATGGGAACAAAACTTAACATTTCATGTTTACCTTTCGTTGGAAATGAATTTTATACCATGTGCATCATTATAAAATTTAATAAAGCTTTAAATAACAATAATAAATATATCAAATGCTATGGGTTTTTCCAGCAGAAACATTGGTGCCCACTGAGTTATGGATTTTTGTCAACTGTAATTTCTGTCGACTATCTATACAAACAAATAAGGAAGCTTAAAAAGGAAGTAGAAAGAAACTGTAGAGAGAGGGTCTGTTTTTATTCTGCAGTTTGGTTTTTCTAGGTATTTGGTAATGAAGTAATGCTAGCCTTCTCAAACCACAGGAGCAGGAGAAGTGGCTCTCCTTCCTTTCTAAGAGACAGCTACGTACAGCCTCAGAGAGTGGGCGCCAGGCTACAAACATGACGTACTGATTAGAGAGCCAGTGCTGATCAGTGGGGGCAGGCAGGTGGTAGGGGCTCTCTAGACCAAAGGGAAAGACAGTAGCGTAGAGGCTGTTGGTTCAGCAACAAGTCAGGGGTCAGAATGCCTGGGACCCCTCTGGAACACAGTTGACCAAGAAGAAATGGCAACCTTCTGGGCATAAAGAAGGGAGCACAAAAGAAATAGATAAATAGAGGCAGAACCCAATGGCTTGAAAAGGCAAAGAATATTAGGATTTGGAGTGGGTATGTAAGGACTAGGGGAGAGGCAGGGGGTCAATGTGGCTGAGACATGAGACAGGGACTCCTAATCTCTCTTTATCTGGTGATCATGTCAGGAGATAAGGCCTTCAACTAGCACTGCACAGCTTGAGCTCACATTCAGGTAATGACAGTGGGTTAATATTTAGCCCCACTTTGAAACCGATCAGTACACAGTTCTAAGAGCTTTCACAGATGGGACTCTAAGAGCAGCACTCAGCATACCATGCCCTCAAGCTTCAAGCTTCTGTCAATATTGGTACCATGCTGCTGCTTAGTTCATCTTTATCCAGCCTTCTATCACCCTGTTTCCCTTGCCCTATAGACTTGGATTCATTCATTCATTTATTCATTCATTCATTCAACAGGATCTACAATACCAAGCATTGATTCAAGCCCAGAGACACAGTGGTTAACATGACAAACATGATCCCCACCCTCATGGAGCTTACAGTTTACAGAGGAAATCAAATAAGTATGCAACAAGTTATGATATATGCTATGAGGGAAAACAAAAAGTGCTCTGAGAATGAGAAACTGGAGGCCCAGTTCAGATTGTGTGATCAGGCAAGAGGGCTGCCTTCAAATACAGTTCCAAGGGACATTGCACACGGGAAGCACAGTGTGCATGTCATCCCTAGATGTCAGCCAGGCAGAGTGGGGCCAAAAGCCTTCTAGAAGAGGGGAAGGCATGCTCACAGGCACCAGAGAAGGAAACTTTTTGGCAAGGACAAACCACTGCAAGAAGTACAAAGGAGGGGCAGCATAGAGGAAGGGAGGCATGAGATGAGGCTCAGATCCTTGGAGAATATGGGAGACTCTGAGAGGAAAATGATATTTTTATCCTAAATTGAGTGGGAAGACTAAAGAATACTATGCAGGTGAGTGATACGGTTTAGTGTATAAATATTTGTAAGCCACCCTGGCTGGCATCTAGAGCATGGATTGGAAAAGGACAGAAGAAGTAGGTAACCAATTTGGACACCATTGAGTGTCCATTGAGTCAACCAGGCCAAAAATGAAGGTGGCTTGGCAAAAGATTACAGCTGCAGAAAGAAAAACTTATTAAACTCAACAGCAAAGAAACAATCCAATCATGAAATGGGCAAAAGACATGAACAGAAATCTCACAGAGGAAGACATAGACATGGCCAACAAGCACATGAGAAAATGCTCCACATCACTGGCCATCAGGGTAATACAAATCAAAACCACAATGAGATACCACCTCACACCAGTGAGAATGGGGAAAATTAACAAGGCAGGAAACTACAAATGTTGGAGAGGATGTGGAGAAAGGGAACCCTCCTGCACTGTTGGTGGGAATGTGAACTGGTGCAGCCACTCTGGATAACTGTGTGGAGGTTCCTCAAAGAAGTAAAAATAGATGTGCCCTATGACCCAGCAATTGCACTGCTGGGGATTTACCCCAAAGATACAGATGCAGTGAAACGCCAGGACACCTGCACCCCAGTGTTTATAGCAGCAATGTCCACAATAGCCAAACTGTGGAAGGAGCCTCGGTGTCCATCGAAAGATGAATGGATAAAGAAGATGTGGTTTATGTATACAATGGAATATTACTCAGCCATTAGAAACGACAAATACCCACCATTTGCTTCGATGTGGATGGAACTGGAGGGTATTATGCTGAGTGAAATAAGTCAATCGGAGAAGGACAAACATTATATGGTTTTATTCATTTGGGGAATATAAAAAATAGTGAAAGGGAATAAAGGGAAAGGAGAGAAAATAAGTGGGAAATATCAGAGAGGGAGACAACATGAGAGACTCCTAACTCTGGGAAATGAGCTAGGGGTGGTGGAAGGGGAGGTGGGCAGGGGGTGGGGGTGACTGGGTGACAGGCACTGAGGTGGGCACTTGATGGGTTGAGCACTGGGTGTTATTCTATATGTTGGTAAATTGAACACCAATAAAAAATAAGTTTATATATATATATAAAAAAAGAAAAACAAGTGGATAGAGTTAAGGTAAGTTTTGGAGATAGAAGTGAGGTAGGTTGCTGGTAGGTTGGATATGAGAGGTGAAGAATAACTCCAGGCTTCCGGCTTAAGCAAATGCATAGTACCATTTATTGAGACAGGGAACATGAGGAAGAATGGATTAGTGGGTGGATCCAGAGTTCCATAAGCTGAAATGCTTATAGTAATCGAAGTCGAGATGGCAAGTAGACAGCTGGTTTTATGAGTTTGTGTTCATATCAGAGATCTTATTGGCGATACAGTATGGGTAGCATAAGGTATTTAAGGCCTTGGGAAAGGATGTATCCTCTAGTGAGGGAGTGTGTGCACAAAGCTTTATTTTCTGATGTACTTGAAAGTTTTTCAGGGTCTCCCATGCATTGTGGACCACACCCCAAAAAGTGTTTTGGGAGCAGCTGGAAACAAGTCTTCACCTTTGTCTTTAGCAGTGCAGACAGTGAAACTATCTCCTTATGAGCAGATGCTGGACCAACTTAGTATTTGCAGTGTCCTGGGCTAGAGCATAATGCCTCAATTCCCAGCATCTCTGCTCACTCACATTTGGGAATCCTTCATTCATCCTCTACCTCTGATTCTGGGTCCAGTCACACATTGATTAAAAGGCTTAGGATGCAATAATGTTACAGTACAAACTTTCAAGGGTGAATCAGAAACAGCATTGAGGGTACAAGGGAATATGAGGGCATGCAGGAACTGTTCATCCTTAACTTTTTGTTTTTGCCAGGTTCCAATGTATCCTGGACTTGGATGACCAGCAGGCCTCAGGGAGAACTGAATCACCCATAGCTTTGCTTCCTAAGGGTATGCCAGCATCTCTCTGTGATCTGACATTCATACTCTCCAATACAGAGGATTTCCTTGGGCTTGTTTGTCCCAAACAATATGGCTCCCCCATACTGAATTAAGTTTTTCTTCAAGCCACCTCCCATCCCATGGGTTGAGCTCCATGATGTCCAAACTATACCTGAATGCCTTTGGTATGGATAATAATCCTCCTCTCAGTCAGTTACTGTGATGGAAATGAGGTTAGTTTCACGCACGGTACCTGGACCACTGCAATAAATGCAGCCTCCATTGGAGCCCTCTGGCCTCTGAAGGGGCTGAGGATGTATCATACCCTTTTAGAGCATTGGCTTGAAGTAACTACAATTCTTGGTCTCCTCTTCACAGCTGTTGCTATAATTCATCCTCATCTGAAAGTGCCAAAGTGTGAATCTTCAGGCTGGTGAGGTTATAAGGTGACAAGACTGGTGGTGTAGGAGGACCTCTGACTGCCTAATAAAATTTTTCACTGGGTTGTGTGGTTGTTCTATTTTACAACTCCTATCTGCAAAGTTCTGTATGTATTTTATTTCTGTCAAACTTGAGAAAACTCTTTAGGAAAGCTTCTGAACATTCCTCAAACACCTCTTTTTTTGTATATTTCTTTTATTGGAGTTTGATTTGCCAACATATAGTATAATACCCAGTGCCCATCCCATCAAGTGCCCCCCTCAGTGCGTGTCACTCCAACTCCCCATCCACCTCCCCTTCCACCACCCCTTGTTCGTTTCCCAGAGTTAGGAGTCTCTCATTTTCTGATATTTCCCACTCATTTTCTCTCCTTTCCCCTTTATTCCCTTTCACTATTTTTTATATTCCCTGAATGAATAAAACCATATAATGTTTGTCCTTCTCCAACTGACTTACTTCACTCAGCATAATACCCTCCAGTTCCTGGTGCAGCCACTCTGGAAAACTGTGTGGAGGTTCCTCAAAGAGTTAAAAATAGACCTGCCCTACGACCCAGCAATTGCACTGTTAGGGATTTACCCCAAAGATTCAGATGCAATGAAACGCCGGGACACCTGCACCCCGATGTTTCTAGCAGCAATGTCCACAGTAGCCAAACTGTGGAAGGAGCCTCGGTGTCCATCGAAAGATGAATGGATAAAGAAGCTGTGGTCTATGTATACAATGGAATATTACTCAGCCATTAGAAACGACAAATACCCACCATTTGCTTCAACGTGGATGGAACTGGAGGGTATTATGCTGAGTGAAGTAAGTCAATCAGAGAAGGACAAACAGTGTATGTTCTCATTCATTTGGGGAATATGAATAATAGTGAAAGGGTATATAAGGGAAGGGAGAAGAAATGTGTGGGAAATATCAGAAAGGGAGACAGAACATGAGAGACTCCTAACTCTGGGAAACGAACTAGGGGTGGTGGAAGGGGAGGAGGGCGGGGGGTGGGGGTGAATGGGTGACAGGCACTGAGGGGGACACTTGACGGGATGAGCACTGGGTGTTATTCTGTATGTTGGTAAATTGAACACCAATAAAAATTAATTTATTAAAAAAATACCCTCCAGTTCCATCCATGCTGAAGCAAATGGTGGGTATTTGTCATTTCTAATGGCTGAGTAATATTCCATTGTATACATAGACCACAGCTTCTTTATCCATTCATCTTTTGATGGAAACCGAGACTCCTTCCACAGTTTGGCTATTGTGGACATTGCTGCTATAAACACTGGGGTGCAGGTATCCCGGTGTTTCACTGCATCTGTATCTTTGGGGTAAATCCCCAGCAGTGCAATTGCTGGGTCATAGGGCAGGTTTATTTTTACTTCTTTGAGGAACCTCCACACAGTTTTCCAGAGTGGCTGCACCAGTTCACATTCCCACCAACAGTGCAGGAGGTTCCCCTTTCTCCACATCCTCTCTAACATTTGTTGTTTTCTGCCTTGTTAATTTTCCCCATTCTCACTGGTGTGAGGTGGTATCTCATTGTGGTTTTGATTTGTATTTCCCTGATGGCAAGTGATGCGGAGCATTTTCTCATGTGCTTGTTGGCTGTGTGTATGCCTTCCTCTGTGAGATTTCTGTTCATGTCTTCTGCCTATTTCATGATTGGGTTGTTTGTTTCTTGAGTGTTGAGTTTAATAAGTTCTTTATAGATCTTAGATACTAGTCCTTTATCTGATAGGTCATTTGCAAATATCTTCTCCCATTCTGTAGGTTGTCTTTTTTTTATTTTTTATTTTTTGTAGGTTGTCTTTTAGTTTTGTTGACTGTTTCTTTTGCTGTGCAGAAGCTTTTTATCTTGATGAAGTCCCAGTAATTCATTTTTGCTTTTGTTTCCCTTGCTTTCATAGATGTATCTTGCAAGAAGCTGCTGTGGCCAAGTTCAAAAAGGGTGTTGCCTGTGTTCTCCTCTAGGATTTTGATGGATTCTTGTCTCACATTTGGATCTTTCACCCATTCTGAGTTTATCTTTCTGTATGGTGTAAGAGAATGGTCTAGTTTCATTGTCCTGCATGTGGATGTCCAATTTTCCCAGCACCATTTATTGAAGAGACTGTCCTTTTTCCAGTGGATAGTCTTTCCTGCTTTGTTGAATATTAGTCGACCATAGAGTTGAAGGCCCATTTCTGGGTTCTCTATTCTGTTCTATTGATCTGTGTCTGTTTTTGTGCCAGTACCACACTGTCTTGATGATCACAGCTTTGTAGTACAACTTGAAATCCAGCATTGTGATGCCCCCAGCTCTGATTTTCTTTTTCAATATTCCCCTGGTTATCGGGGTCTTTTCTGATTCCACACAACTCTTAAGATGATTTGTTCCAACTCTCTGGAGAAAGTCCATGGTATTTTGATAGGGATTGCATTGAATGTGTGAATTTCCCTGGATAGCACAGACATTTTCACAATATTAATTCTCCCAATCCATGAGCATAGAATATTTTTCCATCTATTTGTGTCTTCCTCCATTTCTTTCAGAAGTGTTGTATAGTTTTTAGGGTATAGATCCTTTACCTCTTTGGTTAGGTTTATTCCTAGGTATCTTATGCTTTTGGGTGCAATTGCAAATGGGATTGATTCCTTAATTTCTCTTTCTTCAGTCTCATTGTTAGTGTATAGAAATGCCACTGATTTTTGGACATTGATTTTGTATCCTGCCACACTGCTGAATTGCTGTAGGAGTTCTAGCAATCTTGGGGTGGAGTCTTTTGGGTTTTCTATGTACAGTATCATGTCATCTGCGAAGGAGAGTTTGACTTTTTCTTTGTCAATTTGAATGCCTTTTATTTCTTTTTGTTGTCTGATTGCTGAGGCTAGGACTTCTAGTACGATGTTGAATAGCAGTGCTGAGAGTGGACATCCCTGTCATGTTTCTGATCTTAGGGAAAGGCTCTCAGTGTTTCCCCATTGAGAATGATATTTGCTGTGGGCTTTTTGTAGATGGCTTTTAAGATGCTGAGGAATGTTCCCTCTATCCCTACACTCTCAAGAGTTTTGATCAGGAATGGATGCTGTATTTTATCAAATGCTTTCTCTGCATCTATTGAGAGGATCATATGGTTCTTGTTTTTTCTCTTGTTGATATGATGTATCACATTGATTGTTTTACGAGTCTTGAACCACTCTTGCATCCTGGGGATAAATCCCACCTGGTCATGGTGAATTATCTTCTTAATGTACTGTTGGATCCTATTGACTAGTATCTTGTTGAGAATTTTTGCATCTGTGTTCATCAGGGATATCAGTCTATAATTCTCCTTTTTGGTGGGGTCTTTGTCTGGTTTTGGAATTAAGGTGATGCTGGCCTCATAAAACGAGTTTAGAAATATTCTACAGTGTATGTTCTCACTCATTTGGGGAATATGAATAATAGTGAAGGGGAATATAAGGGAAGGGAGAAGAAATGTGTGGGAGATATCAGAAAGGGACACAGAACATAAAGACTTCTAACTCTGGGAAATGAACTAGGGGTGGTGGAAGGGGAGGAGGGCGGGGGGTGGGGGTGAATGGGTGACGGGCACGGAGGGGGACACTTGACGGGATGAGCACTGGGTGTTATTCTGTATGTTGGTAAATTGAACACCAATAAAAATTAATTTATAAAAAAAAAAAGAAATATTCTGTCCCTTTCTATCTTTTGGAACTGCTTTAGTAGAATAGGTATTGTTTCTTCTTTAAACATTTGATAGAATTCCCCTGGGAAGCCATCTGACCCTGGATCTTTGTGTCTTGGGAGGTTTTTGATGACTGCTTCAATTTCCTCCCTGGTTGTTGATTGGCCTGTTCAGGTTTTCTATTTCTTCCTGTTCCAGTTTTGGTAATTTGTGGTTTTCCAGAAATGCATCCATTTCATCTAGATTGCCTAATTTATTGGTGTATAGCTGCTCATAATATGTTTTTTAAGTTGTTTGTATTTCTTTGGCATTGATTGTGATCTCTCCTTTTTCATTTGTGATTTTATTAATTTGAGTCTTTTTTCTTTTAGTAAGGCTGGCTAATGGTTTATCTATCTTTTAATTCTTTTTTTTAATTTTATTTATTTATTCTTGAGAGACACACACAGAGAGAGAGGCAGAGACACAGGCAGAGGGAGAAGCAGGCTCCAGGCAGGAAGCCTAATGTGGGACTTGATCCAGGACTCCAGGATCACGCCCTGGGCCAAAGGTGGCGCTAAACCGCTGAGCCACCTAGGCTGCCCTTATTCTTTCAAAGAACCAACTCCTGGTTTTGTTGATCTGTTCTACAGTTCTTCTGGCCTCTATTTCACTGAGTTCTGCTCGAATCTTTAACAACTCTCTTCTTCTTCTGCTTGGTGTAGGTTTTATTTGCTGTTCTTTCTCCAGTTCCTTTAGGTGCGAGGTTAGTTTGTGTATTTGAGTTTTTTCCAATTTTTTGAGGGATGCTTGTATTGTGATGTATTTCCCTCTTAGGACTGCTTTTGCTGTATCCCAAAAATTTTGAACGATTGTATCTTCATTTTCATTAGTTTCCATGAATCTTTTTAATTCTCTAATTTCCTGGTTGACCCTTTCATCTTTTAGCAGGATGCTCTTTAACCTCCACATGTTTGAATTTCTTCCAAATTTCTTCTTGTGATTGAGTTCTAGTTTCAAAGCAATGTGGTCTGAAAATATGCAGGGGACAATCCCAATCTTTTGGTATAGGTTGAGACCTGATTTGTGAGCCAGTATGTGGTCTATTCTGGAGAAAGTTCCATGTGCACTTGAGAAGAATGTGTATTCAGTTGCGTTCGGATGCAAAATTCTGTATATATCTATGCCTCAAACACCTCTTAATTATGAGTTCAGCCTTTGGGGCCAAGTAAATAAGATTGATCCAGTTTCACAAAATTTCAAGCTAGTCTGGAACTGGAGAGCCTCAAAGTAAAACAGATCAAAGTAGCCTGAAGACCTGATCCGTGAAGGATCATTAAACTAATCATGTACAGACATGTTGACAGACGAGTTGAACTTCCCTTTAGGGACCAACTTCAGATACATAGTGGTCAG